GACTCAATTAAAAAATAGGATATTAAAGAAAAATATTAAAGGGAAAAAAAAAGCATTTTATGGTGTCACAAATACTTAACTTGGGCATCAGACCCCAGGTGTCGGTGTAAGTCCATGCCCATGCTTGCAGCTCAAAGCATTGCGACAGTCACTGAGCATCAGGTTTAATTTGGATAAAATAGACTCTTTTTGCTATATAAAAAAAATCTGTGAATGGGAACTATACCTCCTTCTATGAAGTTGTCTTTATTATCAAAACATGGACTCTTCCACATAGAAGAACCAAGGTCTTACCAGCATTTGTCAGCAGATTTTCTATCTTACAGACCCAAAACACCTGAACTAAAAAACTCAGCAGAAGCTCCACCTCAGCACATGTATATAGAGAGCCCTTTGATGACAGGACCAGCTTCTGGTAGAGTAGGAAGAGTTTAAAGGTTGCTTTTGATCCTCGGGTTTGTATCCAGCAACAGCTGAGTTACTAACTCCTCGCAGCTCTGGCAATACAGTGAGAGAAGAAGTCTCCCTGTGCAGATCCCTCTCACTGCAGGCAGCCTGCTAAGGAGCTAATTATACCCAACGCTAATTTGCTATTCAGTTCATTTTTGTAGGTCAGTTTATAGGGCACGGAATTTTAAACCTGGATATGTGCTATGACTTTTTCCATAAAGAAATGACTAAAGCATCGACTCTTGTGACTTATTCTAGTAATGAATAAATACATGTTCAATATAATTAAAAGAAAAAAAAAAGAAAAGCTGGGCCCTATAACCTGTTTACATCGCAGCTAGAGTCCCTGATTGCGAAGTGCTCAGCTCTAAACAACTAATCAGTCAATTTCAGCTCAGCAGGGCAAGCGTGTGGATATCAGTGTTTACAAAGTCAGTGCCAAAGTTAAAAATAATCCACTAAACGAGACCTTTATAATAGAATGGATCCCCTTTTCCATGTAATTCTTTTGTGGTAGTCATACCCCTGACTTCACTGAGAAAATAATTCCATTCTGATAGTTTATGAAGACTTGGGTCTTTAATCTACTTTAAACAAGTGTAAAAGACTGCAGAGTTCTCTCCTGTAGCTGGTGCTGTTCAGTTTTTTAATACTGTGGATGACAGAATATCATATTTCATTTTATAAAATGAGTAGATGACACTAAACTGCAGGTGCTGGAACTGCTCAGAGGGAAAAAATTCAAAATAGAGTTGAGTAAGATGGAGAAATTGTCTGATATCAAGAGCACGGAATTAGCTGAAGGCCAGTAGTCTTACACTTCCAGAGGAAAAAGCAAATGCATAGTACATCTAACATGGGGTTTATAGGAGGCTACAGACTGTTTCCTTAATACTTTACTGTTGGGGGGCAAAAAAAAAGGGGGGGGGAAGGCAAAGCATCATTCCAGGAGGTATTACATAGGGTATCATATATATGGCACCTGACGTAACCGTTCCACTTTTACACAAGCACCAGTTGCACCAGTTGCACTGATGAAGTCTCCACCAGAGCACTGGGTGTAGTGGGGGGAATCAGGCCTTAATAAAGATGTCTGTGAACCGTGTATCAACGGGCACAAGTCCCAAGGAGAGCAAACACAGTAACTCCAGGACTAGAAAACAAAACTTGGGAGGACAGCCTAAGTTAAATCAGTTTTTTCTTTATTCTAGAAAAGACAAAATCAGGAGAGGTAGGAAGATGCCCGATAATAGTCTTTAAACTGATTACTTTTCATACATGGAGAAAAACTGATAAATACCTTAATCATATTCTATATACTTAGTTTGCAGAAATAAATATTTAGGCAGGTCTTGGGGGGAGTGGGAAGCATTCCAGTGATGAGAATAGCAAAAAAGGTAATTGGTTGCACAAGGACAGTGCAGAAATCACTATTACTAAGCCTTTTAAAAAGAGCTTAGACAAACCTCTGCCAGACAACCCATGTTTATTTGATCCGAGCGTCCAAATTACCTCTCAAGGTGCCTTTCAGCTGGACACAAGAGAGGTTTTACTCAGACTTCATCTCCAGAAACAACTTAACGTGATTTATAATTAGTAGAGATTTTATATGCACCTTTTTGGGCTTGGCTGGTGCTGGGCACTGATCTTAAATTTCAACGCCACACACAGAGTGTAATAATTTCTAATTAGTGGGATGCTCTGCCTATCCAGCTGTTCACATACACATGAGATCCAAAGGACAGATTTAACACAGTGGATGGGTTATCCATTCCTGAAATATTATATATAAATATATATATATAAAGGAAGAAAATACAGCCTGTTTCACTACTAGAGCACAGTAGGCAGATGCCATCTCCCTGTGTTCAGCAAAGAACAAGTCACAAAACAAAGTCAGCCATCAATTGTGTGATCCCTCAAATCCTGTCCTGACCAATATACCTTCAGTTCCATCAAAGGAGTTCCACCAAGGGCTACTGCTCAGTACCAAAAATGTCCTCAATTATACAGGCTTCGTAAAAGAAAGGCTTATTTTAAGTCAAGGGCTCAATGCAGTAAACATGGAATAATTCCTGTGCCCAGTAGCATATTATTTGAAAAGGGTCCTTTTCTTCTTCAAAATTGTAGGATTCTCTTCTAGCCAAGCCATTATTACAGCAAAAAGTTATTTTTGTAGTATTAGAAGCAAACTGAAAATATCAGCACTAACAGAATTTTAAGAGTAGGTAATCAGGTTAAAACTAGAAAATGAAAACTATCATTTCCTCTCATTAAAATTACTTCTTGAAACCCTATAAACTTCAATTAGGCAATGACAGACTATTTTTCTCTTTTTTCTTTTCTGCTGAGGCTTCTCTACTGCTTAATAAAAACCAGAGAGCAGGATCACTAATTAGGAGGATACACAGTATTTAATTTTACCATTTAATGTTACAAGCCATAGCTTCATGTTACTGATTGTAGTTCTTCTAGATATTACTTTGAAGGGGAGTATTTCATGGCCTGGTATTATATGAACGCTACCGAGGTATCTGGCTACTGTATTTCACAAACATAAACAAACCAAATCCCACAACAGGGTGTGAGATGAGACAGCATCACGCCCCCTTTCCACAACCACAGAGCAAAAGCATAGAAAAGATGAGATAAAACAGGCATTTTGAGGAGCAAAACAGGCATGTTGCATTATTTGCACCCCAAAGAGCAAGGGCTAGTCCTGTTAATGACAGAATTTCCAGATTGGGTGGGTGACATCAGCTGAACGTGTGCTTGGGACTGTCCCAATCCAGACCCAAACACTGCAAATTGGGCAGTGAAAAATTAAGACACGCTGGTGCTGAGTTGTACAAAACTACAGTTTAAGCACAAAAATAGTTGCGTCAACTATTTTCTTTTACTAAACCATGCAGAAAACTAGAAACTATGTTTGAATCTTTAAATCAATATGAACCTCAGCTACCTGAGCAAAACAGTAACCTGTAGGAGTGATAGATTTTGATCATTTGCATGGGCCAGCTACTAAAACGCTGAGTATCCATTTATTTAGATATAATAGTTCAGACAAATGACCAAGGTAAAATCTCCTGGATTCAGTAACAGGTAACATTGCAGAAACTACTTTCCTTTCCAACCAGATGCACCTTATTCCTTTCCCCCTAGTTTTTCCCAGGCTTTTTAGGATGTAAGCCTCTCTCTTTGATTTGCAAATTTAAATATAAGCACAGAAAAAGTCCAACTCTCATCCCAACACTGAAGACTGAAAAGATCTTTACGTTTGAAACTGCTTCTGGCTTGTTTCTCCAGTTTCCCCCTTGGCATTAAATTTGGGTCATTTCTTCCTGTTGATGGTGCCTAGGGATTATTGGTGAAGGCAGTGAGAGGCAGAAGTCCTTCTGTTCCATCACCAAACTCAACCTACACGTCATTCCAGAACAAGGGACGTTCTTGGGGAAAAAGGAGCAAGAATAAAGACAAGCAAGACAGCAGGGACCCCAGGTTGAGCCAAACCGTGGCTCCGTCACACACGAGGACACCACAATTGAGAGAAGAGAGTTTTCTGCCTTCTGTGACCCAAAAAAAAGAACTGAATGAAAATGGTACTGGCTCACCACAGGAGCAGCAGTGCCCAGCTCTGCCAAAGTTCTGCCCAAGCAAACAGGAAAAAGGAATTTTCCCAAGAGCTTTCAACCCAGTAAAATTTGATGGGTTTCCACACAGGTGTCCAAAAGCTCACCCCGACCAACATCAGGCTTTCTGGTATCTGCCAAGACACTAATTCAAAGTACAGAAGGACTATCTCTTCTTAAATAAATTACTTTAAGAAAATTTTAAATTAATCAAGAAATAATTCTCCGAAATATCTGGACTAGTTTCACTAAAGCACTGCAAAACAATCACATGCCAAACGTGGAAAATTTCAACCATGAATGGGTAAGCTGGGGAAACCTCAGAAGCAATTTGGAAAATGCTCTTAGACTGGGAAGCATTTGGCAATTTTAAATAGAGCCATCTTAACTAGAGGCCTCTCTCCTAATAGGGCATTGGCTGTAATATTTCTGGTTTGTTCTGAACTTATTAACCTAAAAAAATAAAAATAATAAAAACAAACAAGAAAAAGCTTCAGTCATTTAACAACACTCCTTCAGATAATTTGTGTTAAAAAAAAACAGTGAGAACTTCAGAAAAAAAAACATTCACATTTATCATTTAACATACTGATATGAGGCTAGCAGATAAATAATCACCTGGGGGGGGGGGGGGGGGAAAAAA